TAAGACCTGAAACCATAAAATACATAGAAGGAAATATAGGTGAAACACTACGTGATTTGCACATCAAAGACATCTTTACAGACACATCACCCAAAGCAGTGATAGTGAAGGCAAAGATAAACAGATGGGACTACATCAAATTAAAGAGCTTCTGCACAGCAAAAGAGACAATAACAAAAACAAAGAGAAACCCCACCAACTGGGAGAACATTTTTGCACCCAACACTAATGATAAAGGACTGATCACAAAAATCTGCAAAGAGCTGATGAAACTCAACAACAACAAAGAAAATACTCCAGTCAAAAAATGGGCAGAAGAGCTGAAAAGAAACTTCTCTGAAGAGGAAATGCAAATGGCCAACAGACATATGAAAAAAATGTTCAACATCACTTGTCATCAGGGAAATGCAAATCAAAACTACCATGAGATACCATCTTACACCAGTGAGAATGGCACATATTAAAAAAACTAGCAACAACAAATGTTGGCGAGGTTGTGGAGAAAAAGGAATGCTTTTGCACTGTTGGTGGGAATGCAAACTGGTCCAACCACTATGGAGAGCTGTGTGGAGATTTCTGGACCTACTAAACATAGAGCTTCCATATGATCCAGCAATTCCACTCCTAGGTATTTACCCAAAGGACACAGAAACATCCATTCCAAAGAACACCTGCACCCCTATGTTTATAGCAGCACTATTTACAATAGCTAAGCTCTGGAAACAGCCCAAATGCCCAAAAATAGATGACTGGATCAAGAAGATGTGGTACATATATACCATGGAATATTACTCAGCATTCAAAAAAGATAGACACATGCAATTTGCAGCAACATGGATGGCGCTGGAAGAGATCATGCTCAGCGAAATAAGCCAGAAAGAAAAAGAAAAATACCAGATGGTCTCACTCATAGCAGGAATCTAGAAAACTTAAATAAGGGATCAGGAAAAAGAATAACTATAAGAAAGTGAAAATCAAAATCAACAAAAAACTATGAACCAGAGACACTTTTTGGGGGGTGGGGGCCGGGAGGGGAGGGATTGGGGTCAGAATGGGGCATGTGTAGTTGTATGGGGGAATATAAAAATAAAATTTATTATTTAATAAAAAAAAAAAAGATAAGAAAAAAAAAAAAAAAAAAATAAAAATATTGTGTCCAATTGTACTGTAGCACTATTTACAATAGGTAAGCTCTGGAAAAAACCCAAATGTCCAAAAATAGATGACTGGATCAAGAAGATGTGGTACATATACACAATGGAATATTACTCAGCAATCAAAAAAGATAAACTCATGCCATTTGTAGCAACATGGATGGAGCTGGAAAGGATCATGCTCAGTGAAATAAGCCAGAAAGAAAAAGGAAAACACTGGATGTTTTCACTTACAGGAGGAATGTAAGGGATCCTAATAGGGAATCAGGGGAAAAAAGTAATTATAATAAACTGAAAATCAAAATCAACAAGCAAACTATAAATCAGAGACATTCGGCAGTGGGGGAGAAGGGAGTAGGATCGACACAGGGGCGGGAAGAGCACAAGGGACTACAGTGATGGTTCACGTGTGAATTGGTGGTGGGAATTTCATGGGGACTATAACCGAGATGAGAAAGCATACACTGTAAAAAAAAATGAAGAACGATGTAAAAAATATATAAAATAAAAAATACAATTAAAAAAACATTGTGTCCAACGATCAACTGGGAATTGAATTTACAAAAGTGGGGGGAGGAGTCTAATTTCTTATAAACTCTTTGACTCTCAGTTTAGCTCAACAAGAAAATAGGGATGAATTGATTTGAAATGTAATAAAGAGTTAAAGATAAATACATATGTACACACACATATTCATGGCCATGCTTCAAAGTGCCAATATATGTATTTCTTGCTTTTTGTGTTCTGAATGTAGTTGAGAAATCAAAAGTAATATTTAAATTTTAATATTCTGAGAAGAAAGTTTGGTGGTGGATTTGCTGCTTGGGTTCATCCTCGCTCCCTCCCTTATTACTAGCACTGTCTCTTTGGACACGTTACTTAATTACAATCTATATTACTCATGGGGGGTATTGATTATAAGAGCAGCTAACTTAGATCAGCTATGGAGATTAAAAACTTAAATCCATGTAAAGCGCTTAAGTATTGAATTAGTTAGTTATGCCATGAATATTATTGTAATAGTTATGACAGATTGAGACTCAAGGTAGGACTAGACTAAACTGTGTTAAATCTAGTCTTAGTTTCTCAGGTAGCCGAGCTACTATTAAATGCCATTAGCCAACTATTCTTCAAATATCAGTGCACACAGGATGTTAGCTATGGGCAAAGATTCTGCTTCGCCATGTTCCATGAAGGCCTAGAAGCTAAAGATGGCCCAAGAGGTCAAATGAGAACTCTCAGTAGAGAGAGGTTTACTGTAGCCTCAGTCTACTAATTCCAAGTTCTACAAATTCAGCAAATAATCTATTCGAAAGGAACTCTAATATTCAAAATTCTCTGCATCTGCTTATATATTCCCTTGAGCTAAACACTATATACTTAAGGCAATAACACTTTTTTGAAGAATAATTATTCATGAGTAAAGTGTTAAAGTCTTTCTTTTTTCTAATTGTAAATGGTGTTCAAGTATTTCTTGGATTGCTAGATAATATTTTAGACTGTGAAGTTAGAGAATTTAACAAGGGCCCCATACTTCCACTGACTTAATGAATATTTCCAAACACATGAAAAAAAATCAGGAATTTTGGTGTTCTTGTTCCTACGTTTCCATTAAAGTTTGTGGAAGTTTCTAGGCATAATCACATCAATAATGCATAGTCATAGGTAATTTATCAGTTAAATAACTGTGGTTTAGGATTTAACTGACAACTTGTTACCTTAATTCTGGACAAGATACAGCAGAATGAAGTGGTCTGCCTACTGTGTTACTGCTGCCTATAAACACAAATAAGAGCCTCAGGGTTTAATTAGAGGACTTATAATTAAACCTGAAGCATGCTAATGCTAAAATGGAAAGACTGGACATCTGGAAGAGAAGCCTGGATTTGGTCACTTGCCTTTTGGAAACTAAATCCATGAAATTTTCGTGTCCAAAGGTGCAGTGGTGCTCTCACCTGTGGTTTGTACGTGGGCATAAATGACAAAGGTGAATGTGAATAGTTCAGGAGAGGTCAGTGAAATAAGAATTTAAAATCATGAGGGATCCAGGATGGCTTTTTTTGACCTTAACATGAAAAGAAATCATTTGAAAGAAGTATCAGTATATATTACGTGGGTTTGCCCTTCATAAAAATACACATCGCCCTGGAACTCACAACCAAGGAAGGTTGTCGAACAGCATCAGAGAGTCTTTTGATGGAAAGGAGGAAGCACAACCTGTGGTTTCATAACCAGTGGAAAGGGCCGGGAAGGGAGCATGTACTGCAAAGGTACACAACAGTTGTATTAGCTAGCATTGGGTTCCACTTCTTACCTCTCAACCCTCTTTTCTACTACCAGTGATCTAGCCACACATAAGGTACATAGACACATTATATAGCTGCATATAGCTATAGATGATATGTATGTACATACACCCATATATCATCTTCGTACATTCCACCCTGTCAAGTGCATTAGAAATATGAATAATAGAGCCAGGATACTTATTTTCCATTTTCCTTTCCAAAGTCATTAAAAGAAAGGTTTTTTTGGTTTGTTCCATATATATGTTTTTAAGAATAAGAGAAAATCATCTGTCCTTTATAGCCCATCTAAAAACAATATTGTGTAGTTTAGGAATCAAAATTCAGATTTCTTGGTGTATTTTTTATTTTCTCTCTTTCACTAATAAAGACTTTCGATGTCTTTCAGTTACTAGGAATCCAGTCTATGTGGTATTGTTATATGTAAAATATATAATTTAGATTGCTTTAAATAAAACTCCTTAAACACAAGAGCACTGCTTAAGTGTGTGGTCTAAAGGCAAGAGAAAATGGAGTGGAAAAGTAGTAAAATTTTGGTTTTGATGGTTTATTATTGATAGTCTGGAGGTCCATTGCAGTTATCCACTCCTTAAGACACAGCTGGGACAGGGCAGGAGTAAATAAAGAGTGAGGTGATTCCAGGATACTCAGCCATGAAATGGAATCTCAAAACGAAATAAGCAGGATGGTAACTACCTTAGCTTATTAAGATTCAAATATTAATGTTTTTTTTCTTTGAGAGACATTACTGAATATTTACTGTAAAATGATAGTTTGGGAAAAAAACATGTTCAAGAAATGCATCTAAACAGGGTTTGAATGACTTGTGGTGTGTTTAATTCCGGAGTAACAGTAAACCGATGAAACTAAGTTTCCCATCCAAATGCATATTCTAAGTTAAGGCGTCTTGAAAAAATTTCCACATTTCATTACAACTTTTCACTGGGATGACACATGGTCCTGTTTTCCAAGACTTTGATTTGATATTTGAATGCAATGGCATTTGAATGCAAATTGCTAGTATGTAATCTTAAGACTTAAAAAGCAAATACCTTAATTTGTTTATGGACAAAACTATTAAAATATTTCTAGGGACGCTTGTTATGCTGATTCTCCAAGAACATAACCTATCTTTGAAGTGGTATATTAGTTTTAAAGAAGTCATTCCCAAGCTGAATAATTACACTGAAAACACAAGCTATTCTTAGGGTACATTCCACATAGAACGCTATGCACATGATGCTTTGATTCAAATAATATACTTATAAAACGTTGTTATTGTTTGAGGTCTATATTCAGAGTGGCAACTTTTGTTTTTGATGGTTATTCCATCCTGAAACAATTTCCCCCCTGCCCAATTAAGCCAGAATTAGGAGCACATTTCTATCTGAAGCTTAAACTTCTCAAAGGCCTGCTTCAGAGATGGCATGACAGCCTTCAGTAGTTCTGTTCATATTGTCTCTGTAATAGAGGGTTCAAAAGAAAACAATCAATTCCCTGGAGTTTTTTTTTTTTTTCTGGAAGAGGATGGTTGCTTTTGTTGCTTTGATTTTAGTATGTTGTGCATTTTTATTGGCTGTAGGAGCTAAAAAACCAAAACCTCATCTGTTTTTTCTGCTGTATAAATCACATAATGTCTTCCAATCTACAGTAAAATGCCTAGGTCCAAAATATTTAAAAGTCATTTATCATTACATGTGGTAGAAAGACTTCCAGGTTGTAAGAAAACTCTCTAATATTTGATTGATATACCACAGACTGCTAAAAATATACACATGCACATTAGCAACAACTTCCAGAATGCAGACGTACACTCATACTATTTTGGATCCCTTTTCCTACCATTGCAAGAGGCTGTTTTAGCTAATGTAGCAGCTGGCTTGGTTATTACTTCTATAATATAATCCATAACGCAAAAGCAGCTCTTTCCCAAACATTTTAGAGTAATGCGAATTGTTTACATGTCTCTGGTAGATAATTTTCCTATAACTTTGTGCCAATTGGTGTCATACTATTTGGTAAAAATCTTCATTAAATCAAGACAACTGCGCTTAGTTCAATTTCTCTCATAGGAAGAATTATAAGAAAATTACAATGGCTGATTTAAGTCCATCACCATGAAGTAAATACAGGATTTTAGAAAAAGTATGTAAACTACAAAAATGGAGTTGTATAATTAAACATCAAATAGTCCAAGTAATAAAAGTCATATATCAATTGTCTCTCAGTTCTAGTCAGGTCCTTTAAGTACTGTCTCACGACCTCAGCATTGGTTCTTTCATCGGAGGAATGCCTATCCTTAAAGTTCGGAAATTTCAGCTCTTTTGGGGCACCGATCAGCTGTAAAAAGTAATTGGCATCTTCTTCCAAAGTTTCAAATTTCCCTACAAAGTCATAGTTGATCAAACATGGATAGCAGAGTTTGTGGACCTTCTCCCAGTGGATGTCCATTCCTACTGGACGGTGGGAATCCAGCAAATAGTGGATAAATTCTTTGAATTTGACTCCAGAGCCATTATTTAGTGCTTCTTCACAGGCATTTGGCCGATATTTCTTTATAATCGCTTTCCCGAACACTGGATGGTAGTAACTGTTGGGGTGCTCAAATTTGTCCCTAAATGCCGACACCAATCTTTCCATGGGGTCACGAACAAACACAGCTTTGGTGTAGGTATTTAAACGAGTATATATCCCTTTCAAGTCAAAGCTGTCTAGCTTTTTCAAATACTTCCCATAGTGGACAGCATCATGTGAGATGTTGTAGGTAGAGGGAGCTAACCCATTTAGTACCATCAGAATTCTTTTCCAGTTGGAACAGCCAGCCTTGGGTACTTCACAATATAAGACTTTGTGTTTATCTTCTACATAGATCCTGGATACTATATGAAAAAGATGTGATTGAGGACGACTCACCCCACCATATTTCTTGCAAAACTCCTGAAGGAAAGATCTGCGTTTCTCTTGAGTTACATCAGTTTCCTTCCATCTGTTGTCTTTGACTAAACTTTTGTTTAAAGGGCGAGTGTCCAATGGCCAATTCATTTCAAAAAACTTCTTGAAAAGGGTCTTACTTCCTTGGTGTATTTCCATCAGCTTAATTGTTGGAAACCCGGTGGTTTTACTCAAAGCCAGAGTCTTCCCTGGTGAATGGGTGGTATCTGTTAAGATTGTAGTAGGTCTCTCAGAGTTGGGTAGGTTTTCCTTTGGATCTGCTCGCATGTGGGGCTTGGAGTTCTGTTAAAACAGAGGAGGGCTGTTGAAAGCACATTCATTCACATGTGGGGGTACATTAGATAAGGAAGTTAACATATTTGTTTTAAAATACTACTGAGGAGAACACAGTTCATATAAGCTGCTAGAACTATTTAGTAAAGCATGCTGGATATACATTTCGTAGTAAGTTCCTTCACAGGAAACCTAACAATGAAAAATGGCATTCATGCATCATTTTGAATCAAAGTTTCACATTTCATATTTTTTTAATATTTTATTGTATATAATTCTTACATCATTTTTCATCTGCACAATGTATGCATTTTCATTTTGGTTATATTCCCCATACAATTGCACCCCTCCCTTATTTTGATTCTAGTTCTTCCTGTCCCCGCCCTTCCCTCCTACCCACCCCCCCATAGTGTGTCTCTGGTTTATAGTTGCTTGTTGATTTTGATTATTACTTTGTATTGATTAGTCTGGGTTGCTTATTATTCATTTAATGTTGGTGCTGTATTATGTTAACAAATTTTCTCCTGCTAAATTATCTGAACATTATTGGGATTAAACTTACTAGTTGATTTAAATCTATGGTCATAGTAAGTTTATAATTATTTTTGTACTCTCTTTACATATATGGTTATCAATTATATAATCTTAGAAAATGCAAGAAAAAAAGGATACGGTATCCACAAAATGGAAAAGGACCCTGAATTTTCATCTTAAGTTTTGACTGTAGTTGAATAGAATGTAACTCACTCATTCTGTAGGTCATTGATTCTGGAGCTACTTAGACCTCCAAGTATGATTTAGTTAGTGCATCTGAATGTAGATACAAAATTTGTATGTTGTATCTTGGATTGAGATTTTTGTTGTTTTTGAGAATAATCTGTAATGTACAGGGAGGTTCAATGTTATAAACTTAAAATCGTAGTTAATTTAAAACTCTGGTGACCATTTCAGTTTTTCAAGCACTTGCAAAAAGTGATATATATTTTTTCTCTTGGAAAATGTGTTATTTTTCTAAATCAATTTATCACAATAATTTAAGAACTATAATCATGCTATCATACAAATTCATTCATGCAGAAGATTATGTATGATAATTCACCCTCTTTCCAAGTGAAAAATGACTTGGAAATCCAGAAAAGTCTACTTGATGTCCTGCTATATAAAATTAAATCAAATGTAGAATGAGTATTTAATTCTCTTTTTAGTGGAATGAATCATTCCACTACCCATCTACCATTTACTTTTCATCTGACTAGATCCTTATATGGAAGACCAGGATTACAGGGTGGCATTCTCCCATAGGACAAAGATAGTCAGAATTCTCACTTTTACTCTGGTTTAGGTAGGGAGACTTTAGAGGTCTCCGAGCAGAGAAGTAACATGATCTTACTTAGACTTGAAAAGAATGGTTGAGAAGACTAGACTGAAGATATTTATATGGCTGTCAGTGTATAACTGGGAAAATTAATGAATAAGTACAATGGATGGGAGCCACCTCTAGATACCAAAGTTTTTTACTAGCTAAGCTTTTAAGGGAGGTATCGATTCTTTCCAGTGCAAGAAGATTGTGTGAGTAATACAGGATCATCACATGCCAACTTGTCTAGCTCCATGAAATAGCAACTCAAATCTTTTCCACTACTGACCCAACTATTTGGGGTTTCAACTACAAAGTCATTTCACAGTTCTCTTTTCAGAGATTTCCAGGATGACTTAGAAGCCCTGAATTCCCCTTTACTGTGATCAATGACTTGTAGTCTGTAAGTTTTCACAGATAATACAAAATTTGACTGGAGGCCTAAAAGATCATGGGATTAATGGTAGACTGCATGGGAGGTACTGAGAACAGGCTGAAATAAGACTGCCACTATATTTCTATTGCTACTGCAACTATAAATTGCTATTATTATTATAATAGTGGTAGTCATAGGAATAACATTTTATCCCAGTGAGTAAAATGAAATCTAGTGAATTTCATGGTTCCCCAGTTGTCCACCATTATCCAGACTATAATTTGTGCATCTCTGAATAAGCCTTAATCAGTTGTCTTTCCTGTCCCAATAATAAAACAAGCAAAACCCCCCAAATCTCAAAACCAAAATCAGCCTTCCACTGGACTTCCTGTTCTCTGACTTGTGGTCATCAAATTCCCCTCCAATCTCTAAGGACTCTGCATGTTTATTTTCATGACTTTCTCTACATGAAATTTGGCTGGTATGTGAGACTTGAATTTTTCATACAGATGAAACTTCGCTTCTCTGAAACCACTTGTTCCTTTGACCAGAAGGCAGGAAGTTATTTCCTTATAACTCTGCTGCTTCCAGGACATCCCCCCGCCCCCCACAAAACCTCTAGCTTTTTTGAAGCAGAGATTCTGCTGAGTCTCCCTTCCTCCTCATATGGTCACCTGCTTTTACCACTAACCTTACCACCTTATGCACTGAAAACTTAACCTCCTAACTTAGACTTTGTTTCTTCATCCCCACTCTTGCTATGTTGATGACTCAGTTATCCAATACTCTCAGTTGCTGACCACCTCCCTGTTAACTGAAGTATTTTGTCTTTCTTTTTTTTTTTTAAAGATTTATTCATTTATGTATACAAGAACTGGGGTACAGGCCAGAGATATGGAGGGTGAGAGGATTCACCAGAGACAGAGTGGGGAACAGAACAGTCAGACTGACCGAATTACACCGCTGAGGGGAGCAATGGGCGAGTCAGGAGAGGTCTGCTACTACGCCATGTGGGTGGCTCCCTGGCTGGGGATCGAACTCATGCTGCAATGGCTGCAGAGAGCTTCATAGGTTGCGTCCCAACCCCCTGCGCCACCAAGGAGGCCCTGAGGTGTTCTTTATTTCACACAGAACCTGCCATTGCCTGCACTACTTTGTCATGTCTCAGACCAGCATAGTCTAACCTTCACACTCATTTCAGTTTTGCAATTCTTTGGTTAAGTTCACTATGTTATCCAAGCTCTTTGCAGCCAGCACAAATCGTTCTTCTTTCTGTAGCTCCCAGAAAGTCACCTCTGTAGGGGATCTTTCCCTGTTCACTTTATCTGAGTTATGTTCCCCTCTAAGATTCTCTCCTGCAGAATTCTGCTGATTTCCCTCATCACACATAACACAATGTGACATGATTTTATTTCCTTCCATGTTGCTTTTTTTCCTATTCCATTCCACTCTACCTTGATTGCACTAGAATATGACTGCAGAGATGTTATCTTTGCTGCTGTCTTTTGGATCTCCAGTACCTGACACAATGATAATCAATCAATAATTACCAAATGAGTGAATGTGATTATAATTTAACGGTGTTTTCCCAAACAAATGCTTATGACCTTGTGGAAGAAAAACAGTGTTAATCAAAGTCAAGGTTAACTTAGATAAATAATTTACCAATTTATGTTAAGGTACTGAAAATCTATACTCAAACAAGTATTTGGCAGAAGATAAAGCAAATAAAGCAGGCAAATGCAGAGCTGCCGGTGTTAAAGCACGTGTGGAGGGCTTGGAGCCTTACCTCCTGCCAAATCAGATTGGTTCAAAGTCACTCAATGCTTCCTTGGAACCCCTGGAGGCTGGCAGGAAATCTGGACTTCCAGGCCTCACTGTGGACATCCTGAAGAACAATCTCTGGGACAGGGTTCCTGACTATAATTTGAACAAGCTACCAGGTGTTTTCTAGGTAGAAACCTCAGTTGGTAGTAGAGTTGGTAGTAGAGCAATGGCACTGAAGTAGAGAATAGCCAAGAAAGTAAAACATAAGATTCCATCTCATATTAGCGAAAATAAAGACACCAGTATGGTGGCCAGTAGGTAGGGTCAAAGATTGTTGGAAGCTGACCCTTCCATGAAAAGATGGAACACCCCTCACATTTATTCACTTCTCTCCACTGGAAGTTCAGTTTTCCCAAGAAAATTTCTAATGACTAGTTTGGCAATGGGAATAATCGTATGAGGGCAAGGGTCACTGCTCATACATAAGATTTCATTCTCCCATTAGTTTATATAGTACTAGTCAGTTTCCTCAGATCTGTTTACATCAAGATATGGACAGGGGTCAATTCTCTAAAGTAGAACAACCATACCTCATGGGGCTGCTAGTTGGATGTCTATTAGACCTCCCGGCAACACCTTATTCACCATCGCTAACCTACTGAAATCATTAAAATGTGGTAAAATCCCTCCCACCCTTACCCCAACTCCATATCCTTCTAATCATAATAAAGGCTTGTCATGATTGAGGGGTCTGATGTCCTAACAAAGAGGTTAATCACATATTAAATTTAGGCTGATACCAATGAATTTCCATCATCATCTTAATGCCAATAACATTAACAGCAACGGCAATAATAAAGAAAGTCAAGTCTTACAACTCCATTTTTCTTTGGGGGCAGTTCATTCTGATCATCCCTAAAAGAAATAGAAATAGGGCCTCCCCGGTGGCGCAGCGGTTGAGCGCTGGGTTGCGAAGCTGCCCGCGGCCTCTGCGGCGCCGGATCGATCCCCGGCTGCTCCCCGGCCACCGGAGGAGGGTCCCACATGGCGTGCAGACCTCTCCTGCCGCCCGCTGCTCCCCTCAGCAGTGTACTTCGGTCCTTCTGCCTGCTCTGCTCCCCGCTCTGGCTCTGGTGAATTCTCTCACCCTCCCGCACTTCTGACTGTACCCAGTGCATGTATAAACAAAACAAACAAACAAACCAGCAAACAAATAAATAAAGCATGCCTCTATTAAAAAAAAAAAAAAAAAAGAAATAAAGCTAACTTACTGCCCCTTCCCAAAGAGGTTCCTCCTACATGTTTTCCTGTTTTAGAAATGGTTCTATTACATTCTGGTTGTCTTCTCACAAAATCTGAGAGATGCTTTAAAAATTAAAGTAAATTAGGTAATTTACATTTCATAATGTCTTTTTAAAAGTCTCTTTTTATCCCCATTATCTCTTAATTGGACTTTAGGATCCTCCTAATTAATCTCTCTGAAAATTGTTACCAAATTAGTATTCATAA